AATGGGGGAGTCACGGTTTCTAGATTGAAGCCAGTATTCAGACCTATACATATAGGCTTCGTTGTGCGGAAATACGAGCTTGGAGTAGTAGTTCGGCAGGTGTACGCCGTACTGGTCCGACGGGCAGAATCGGCCTTCTTTTTGCTCCTCCCTTACACCCTATTCCACGAACCCCCGAATGTTGGTCGTTCCAAGGATATCAAAAATGGGCTGGGGGTCGTTCGGAATACGTGTATACCCACGTACCCCTGCTCCCAAATCACACGAGCCAACGAACACCAGTGCTGGTGCCTCCAATTCCATCACACGCGCCCATGAGAACGCGTTCAGCACGTATCGGTCCTTGCTGTACGGTGTGCGGGACTTGATCCTCTGCAGGTCGAACTTGCGAGGGTCATTGTCTACCCGATTGACAAGCTGCATCAACGCATCGATGAATTGCGCGCTCATCGTCGAGTGAAGTCGATATCCTAGGCTTGCAGCTATTTGTAAAATACTGGTCAATTAAAAACTGCCAGCGAGGCGTTGGGTGCTACAGGGATGCCCTGGCTTTACATGGGTGCTATTTGCGAAAATGCAGTGTTGAGTCCCTAAACTGACGGTGTTTTGGTATTTGCTCGAGGGAAATGGAGTCCGGGACAGCTGTACGAGTGACAGCAAGGTTGGTGTGGTGTCTTGGTGCTACTGAGCGCACTATCTAGCTCCTGAGGCTGCAGATGTATGAGACGCTCGATCTGGACGAGGCTATTGGCAGATAACAAAAACAAATATCTTGATTTCGCTCTATCGACTTCAAACAAGTACAACCGCTCGCTGCTTTCCATCTCGATTGGCTTTGTCTGTGTCACAGCAATAAATACTTGAGCAAATACTCGTCAGTTTTAAAGCCTGCCATCACTACTTCTGCTGATATAGAGCCTGACCGAAAGAGTTCTTTGATGAACCCTCAGTTCATAGTGGATAAGGTGGCAGGAAACGTACTTAAGCATGAAAATATCACAAAATATCATCTTGTATCTAATATTTGAAACGCTGGGAGTTAACATTAAATATTATGTCAGCTTTTGAAAATCTGAATTAACATTAATGTTTAATTTTGAAAATAGTACAATTACTTTCTAAAATTTCATAAAATAAACATTGTTGACGTCATTACCGTAAAACAGTCAACGATGCTTACTCACTTTAAGAAATTAAATCTCTTCATTTATTAATACCGGTAATAAACCCAAGTACATCGAGCGAAGTACAGTACTATTAATAGTACATGTACGATGTATAGCGACACAGGAGGTCTTCAAAACGTAGAAGTTGGTGATGCTATCCATTACAGTAATCCACACGGAGATGATTTTACATGACGCGTTGAGCTCAAGAATGAAGCAGTTTTAGGGCTTTTAATCAACATATCATATCGGTATCTTCGACCTCGTTCTTCATTAAGTGACATCAAATTATTTAGTTTCACTTTTTGTCATTGTTCTTTGAAAAAATACTAGCATGAAAAGCAAAAAGACCACCTTAAACGTCGTCAACTTGTCTCCTTTTCGAAACTAGCGCTGCTGTTTGAAGTAATAAGGCACCATACCACTGACATTCCTCAACACCTGAAAGTTCTTTCGACAGTAGCATTTGGTTAGAGGCCCATTGGATAGCTTCGTAAATGCTTCGCTGCGAGGCACTTTCTAATCGTGTACTCGTAAGAATATACCAAAGCAAACATCGGTGCTCTTCTTGCAGTGCGTCGATCGCTAGCTGCTCCCGGTGTTGCTCAGGCACCCACCGCACTATCTCCATGTAACCGTACTCCATTCTCCACTTATTTCGCTAATGCGAACGTGAGCGATGGTCCATTCTCGACGAGCCAGCGCAGAAATTAAACATGGCTTTTTCCAGTCCCTTCTTTCACGTTTAAATACGTTATCTTGCACCCGTGTTTTAAAACCAATGCGCCACACCTGGTTGACCCCATTCAGCCGCCGACTTGAGCACATCCGGACCACTCACATTATATCGATTACAATAAAGCCACTCCAACATCGCCACTTGACAATGTCGAGGTGTCCTTCCCAAGCAGTAATATTTAACACATTTCTAAATCTTCTTTCCATAGACGACGACCGTCCTGCTGCTCCCACATCCAACGAATAGCGTAAAGATGCTCACCTTGCACTGCAGCGGAAACAGCATCTTCCCTAAACGGCATAGCTCTTTGCCAGCAAAAAGTTGCGGGGATCGCGCTACTCCTTTCCCGCAAGCATTTGCAAGGACATTGTGACACAAAAACGGAGTCGCAAACTAATCAGTGCGCCGCACAATATGGGACTGCAAGCCGTCGTTCAGACAGTATTTTGATACAGCCTTCGAGGCAGTTCTTCTCGCATTTCTTTATTCGAAGACGATAAAAGTGTTTGTTCGATAGTCACCAGTATTATCTTGCCCCTACCAAAAACATTTTTTCTTAAATAAAATGCTGTAGGCAAAAGGTTGGATACCCTTAAAAGGTACCCCGTAATCAGGCTTTACAGTTTTACATGTACCGATAGTACCGGCGGTCCGGTCGAATCTCGACGGCTTCGAGATTCGCACTTGTGCTCAATGACCCTGATCTGGTACACGCTCTTTGTGATGGTTATCCTCGTGGCTGAAAGCAATGGCCTGTCAGAAGATGATGCCGCAGACTCGCGAGTTACCTTTATGGAATCGGTGCTAATGATTCGCTTGATCAACAGCAACGATAACGAAGGAGGCGACGGCAGCAAGCGGTTCCTGCGACAACAAGCTCTTGACAACCTTTGACACCGACGTGGATGATAAAATTAATGCCGGTTGACAGCCACTCTTGCTGTACTGGAGGTACTATTACCCTGAAGATCAACTCGACTGCAGCGGAAGGCAGGGGTATCACTTTTAAATATTGAAAATCACCAATGATGTCTGCGCCGTAGCTCTAGCAAGCACGTTGCCTTCGCTGTGGTGTTTTCTAATGAAAAATACAGTTAGCAACGCTCTCCACAGTGATAACAGATCGTTGCTAGTAGATTAAGTTCGCTTGTGGGGCTTTACGTTGCTGCTTTGACGCTTCTGTGACGTGGAGAGCGAGACTGAGGTTCCAGTTCTCCCGCTTTAGACTATTAAGCTGTTGGAGCGCGTCTTCGTACTGAGCCAGTTCGTTCTCCCGTTGCGTCTTGGTCTCTTGAGCCTGTTGCTTTGCACGCGTTTCCTGCTCGTTAGCAGTCGCCAACGCGACCAGGAGTTCTTTTTGACGGGCCGAGAGTTCTGCAATCTTCTCTTCTTTGTGAGTCAGTTCTCTCTTTAAACATGAAGACGCCTTCTCCGTAGGCGGGGACGAAGACGGTGATCGTGATGAGCTACTAGCTTTACTCCGTTTCTCGAGATGCCTATACCGTCGCTCTTTCGCGACGATCAAGGCGTCCAGTTCGTCAATACTCTTCTGGTGGCTGCTATCTGACGTCAACGATCCATCTTCTGATGCTGCTGACGACGACGAATGTCTGGCTAGTTGCGTCAACTCTGCTATTCGCTCCTCACGGTCTCTTGCTTCAGCGCTTAGCCGATCTACCTCGACGTTGTGTTGGTCTATCAACGTCTGTACTTGGTCGTCCCGCTCCTTGTTGACGCGAGCTTCCACTGCCATTATTTGCTGTGCTAGTGACTGTTCCATCTCGCGTTTACGGAGCTCAAGCTTAGCTTCAACTGCGTCTTTATCCGCCTCGAGGTCCTTGTAAAGGTTCCCCAAGACAACGCGTTCCCGCTCAAACTCGCTTTCTGACGACTTTAGCCTCTGCACGTCAGCTTCTAGCCGCTCCACAGCGTCCTCACTCTCCTCTGCTCTTCTAATCGCCTCCTGCTCACGTTCCACTGCCGCAATTAAGCGGCCGGATAGCGCTTCAAGCTCACGCTTCAGCATTTCGACAGGCTCTTTGTGCTCTTGTTGAGCACTGGCTACCAACGCACGCGTCTTCTTGTCCATTTTCACCTTCTGCTTGGCCAGCTTCACTTTCATTCGCTGCAACTCGCGTTCCATCCCTGCACACTTCAGTTCACCTGCTCTGCACGCCACTTGCGCAGCCACACGCTGCTTCGCCACTTTCATGTCCAGTTCAGCACGAAATTGAGCCATTTGCTGCTGCATCGCGGTAGTCGCTTGTTCGAGCTGCTCTTCGGCTTGAGCTACTTGCTTCTCGCATCTCTTTTCAGCTCGATGCTCACGGTCACGAGCGTCCTGCGTCCACTGCGATCGCGCCGTCTCCAGCTCAAGCGTAAGTTGCGCAACTTTAACTGTAAGCGCCGCCTTTTGCTGCTCAAGCGCCATATTCTCCGCCTGTAGCCTCGAAACCTCCTCGTCCTTCTTACTGGCACTGCTGTCCTTACTCTGCTGTAGCTGAGCGAGTAGATTGGTCTTTTCACGCTCGAACTCACTCCTCTCCTGCTGCAAGAGAGCGATAGTGTCTGCTCCACGCTTACTTGCAAGCTGGAGTCGCTCCTTGAGAGACTGAATGACTCCGTCTTTGTACGTGATCACGTCCTTAGCTTGGATCATCGCCTCTTCAAGCCGAGTGGACAAGGTATGGAGCATGGAGCGCTCGTTGTCGGACGTTGGAGCAGCAGCCGAGCCAGCTTTCAGTAGCCTGACTTCTTCCTGTAAGCGTGTCACCTCGCGGCCAACATCATCGAATTTTACGGTGAGATCTTGGAGCTGAGACTCTGCCGCATGCTTCGCCGTCAGAGCTTCGTGGAGCTGTTGCTCGTGCTCAACCACTTGGCAGCTCATGGTCTGACTCAGTCGCGAGATGCGGTCCACACACTTGTCCTTAATAGAGATTTCGTGCGCTAGCGCCCGCTCTAATTCAGCTTGCGTTGTTCGGATTTCCAATGATGTCTGCGCCGTAGCTCTAGCAAGCACGTTGCCTCCGCTGTGGTGTTTTCTAATGAAAAATACAGTTAGCAACGCTCTCCACAGTGATAACAGATCGTTGCTAGTAGATTAAGTTCGCTTGTGGGGCTTTACGTTGCTGCTTTGACGCTTCTGTGACGTGGAGAGCGAGACTGAGGTTCCAGTTCTCCCGCTTTAGACTATTAAGCTGTTGGAGCGCGTCTTCGTACTGAGCCAGTTCGTTCTCCCGTTGCGTCTTGGTCTCTTGAGCCTGTTGCTTTGCACGCGTTTCCTGCTCGTTAGCAGTCGCCAACGCGACCAGGAGTTCTTTTTGACGGGCCGAGAGTTCTGCAATCTTCTCTTCTTTGTGAGTCAGTTCTCTCTTTAAACATGAAGACGCCTTCTCCGTAGGCGGGGACGAAGACGGTGATCGTGATGAGCTACTAGCTTTACTCCGTTTCTCGAGATGCCTATACCGTCGCTCTTTCGCGACGATCAAGGCGTCCAGTTCGTCAATACTCTTCTGGTGGCTGCTATCTGACGTCAACGATCCATCTTCTGATGCTGCTGACGACGACGAATGTCTGGCTAGTTGCGTCAACTCTGCTATTCGCTCCTCACGGTCTCTTGCTTCAGCGCTTAACCGATCTACCTCGACGTTGTGTTGGTCTATCAACGTCTGTACTTGGTCGTCCCGCTCCTTGTTGACGCGAGCTTCCACTGCCATTATTTGCTGTGCTAGTGACTGTTCCATCTCGCGTTTACGGAGCTCAAGCTTAGCTTCAACTGCGTCTTTATCCGCCTCGAGGTCCTTGTAAAGGTTCCCCAAGACAGCGCGTTCCCGCTCCAGCTCGCTTGCTGACGTCTTAAGCCTCTGCACGTCAGCTTCTAACCGCTCCCCAGCGTCCTCACTCTCCTCTGCTCTTCTAATCGCCTCCTGCTCACGTTCCACTGCCGCAATTAAGCGGCCGGATAGCGCTTCAAGCTCACGCTTCAGCATTTCGACAGGCTCTTTGTGCTCTTGTTGAGCACTGGCTACCAACGCACGCGTCTTCTTGTCCATTTTCACCTTCTGCTTGGCCAGCTTCACTTTCATTCGCTGCAACTCGCGTTCCATCCCTGCACACTTCAGTTCACCTGCTCTGCACGCCACTTGCGCAGCCACACGCTGCTTCGCCACTTTCATGTCCAGTTCAGCACGAAATTGAGCCATTTGCTGCTGCATCGCGGTAGTCGCTTGTTCGAGCTGCTCTTCGGCTTGAGCTACTTGCTTCTCGCATCTCTTTTCAGCTCGATGCTCACGGTCACGAGCGTCCTGCGTCCACTGCGATCGCGCCGTCTCCAGCTCAAGCGTAAGTTGCGCAACTTTAACTGTAAGCGCCGCCTTTTGCTGCTCAAGCGCCATATTCTCCGCCTGTAGCCTCGAAACCTCCTCGTCCTTCTTACTGGCACTGCTGTCCTTACTCTGCTGTAGCTGAGCGAGTAGATTGGTCTTTTCACGCTCGAACTCACTCCTCTCCTGCTGCAAGAGAGCGATTGTGTCTGCTCCACGCTTACTTGCAAGCTGGAGTCGCTCCTTGAGAGACTGAATGACTCCGTCTTTGTACGTGATCACGTCCTTAGCTTGGATCATCGCCTCTTCAAGCCGAGTGGACAAGGTATGGAGCATGGAGCGCTCGTTTTCTGACGTTGGAGCAGCAGCCGAGCCAGCTTTCAGTAGCCTGACTTCTTCCTGTAGGCGTGTCACCTCGCGGCCAACATCATCGAATTTTACGGTGAGATCTTGGAGCTGAGACTCTGCCGCATGCTTCGCCGTCAGAGCTTCGTGGAGCTGTTGCTCGTGCTCAACCACTTGGCAGCTCATGGTCTGACTCAGTCGCGAGATGCGGTCCACACACTTGTCCTTAATAGAGATTTCGTGCGCTAGCGCCCGCTCTAATTCAGCTTGCGTTGTTCGGATTTGCTCGCATTTGGCCTGGAGAGAGAGTCCACGTAGCGAGTCAGGCGAAAGATGCTTCAGTAGTTCGTTAACTGCAGCGTGGGCAGTAGAATCGCCAGTCTGGTTGGAGCTCGCAGTGGAAACAGCACTTGATTTCAGTGGCGAGCTGGTAGCAGCTTTGGCGATGTCGTAGGCCCTACGCACTCGCCTTGACACGGTCGACTGCTTGAGCGATTCTTCACTTTCACAGCTTGTACTTGGGCTAAGAATCGGTGACATCACAGGTTCTCGAGCTTGATGCGGTAGCTCGCTTGTGGAGCTGTTTGAGGTGGTAGATCTAGCGAATAACCACCGCAACATTCCATCAGGATCATATAATCTTACGAGAAGATGAGCACAGAGACTTACAATGGCGGTGACACAGGTGATACTGTTCTGTTGGTATGGAATCCAGCACATTGATCAACGGATGAGGGTGGAGGAGACTTGGGTACGTCGTAGTCTTCACGACAGCCGGGGGATTGATTTTCCGCGTCCATTGGCAGTCGATTCGGCGTCTCACCAGGTTGATTCGCGTTGTTTTTCTCGATAGAAGACGGAATACAGTTTATCGAGCACGAACTCTTGATCTCTTTCGCTTTACACGCATACAACAACGACTGGATGGCCTAATGTCCATACGCATTTTTATCAGTAAACCCCGACAGAAAGAATAGCTTTGGATACAGTCACCATTACCTGCTGCTGGAACGGCGCAGGAGTTTGAATTGCAACCAGGACGTAGGTCGAGCTGGTATTTCCCACGAACGGTCCGAAGCCTGCACTGAGCGTCTCATTCACTGGAAACTGCGTGTCTAAGAAATACTCTCCACGAGTTTTCTTCTGCGTTTGGCTCGCCACCTCTCCTCTCGGCTCAACGATAGATCCTCCATGGATATCCATGACAACCAACCGTCCTCGTCTCGCCTCTCCATGAGGCGACAGCGTCTCCACGTGCAGCACAAACACAAAATCCTGCTTCTCCGCACACTTGACTCTTTCCAGTGCTTTCGAGTACAGATGCACGGCTTCTGCCGGCGTCCTGACGACCAGAGAATGATCCACCATTGCCTTCTCCATGTCCTCTGTGGTGACGGACGTCCCAGCTGCTAGAAGGTCTACCAGAGCTTCGGGATTGCTCGTCCCACTACGTCCAATGCCCCAGCAGCTCAAGAGTACGTTGCATTTGCCCCCATCTTTAATTTCGGACTCCAAATTGCTGAAAACTCGTCGTATTGCCAACGTTATCAGGCCTGGCTCGAATTTTCGGCTGCTCGGCCTTTCCTGGTCGCCATGACACGCGAACGACTTGCCTGCATTCGTCGCGCCTGTGGCTATCAGCGTCACAGCTTTGCCACCAATAAAGTCGTCTATTGCACCTGTTAAACTGGTCTGGAATACACGAGAATTGCTGTCGTTCACGTCGAAGACCTGCTCGAAGGTGATGCTGGCCACTCCCGGAGACATCTCGCTGTGCTCCAATCGGACGGTCGTGGAGCTTGTTCGACAAATTCCGACAGAAGTAGAAACAGACGCGTCACCTCGCAAGCGGATGAGCACATGCGCGCGCTCCATGATGCGGCAGCAGACGCCAAAGGTCGGCGGCGAGCAGCGCGGCAGTCGATAATGCTAGAGGTGTCCGTTGGGTCGGTGGTGTGGCGCAACATCAAATTTGATTTGTCCGCGGCATTTTTAGTCGTACTTTTTAAAAACATAAATTTGTAAATTCCGACTAAATTTGCCGTTTGGTCCTTTTAATTTAGTCTCTCGCATACAAAAAACGTCCTGCTACAATCCTCTTGGTAGTCGTATCGTCGTGTTGTTTATTCCTATTTAAAGGTATTCTAAAATGAATCATAGACTACAGAAGTCCTCAAAGTAAGCGTCACCTACTTACGTAATACCCCGCCATATCTGCTACGGTACATACAGGTATAACTGGCCAATCACAAAAATGCACTGATTTTGGATGAACTGCAGTCGGCGGGAAAGATCACCATCATTATCAGACCGGTCCGGCCTCTTCGCTATTGTTTATACAAGTAAACCATTGAAAGACTGAGAATGGAGATTAAATGTACGAGGTAACTCATGCTCTAGCTACGTACGCCTCCCTCCATGCACCCTATCACTCTTCCAAGCGACCATGACCGCCAGCCCCATGCCGCGCCGGATCCGCCTTAAAATGGAGCAGAAGATCGCCATGTGCAAGTATGCGAAGGATATGCGCGCTAAAGGCAAACTGTCCAACGCACAGCTCGCAGCGTGGGCAACACGTGCGTTCAAGCTGGAAAAATCTCTTTCACGCGATGCCGCTCGCAATGTTATCGCTGGGGAGTCTAAGTGGGCCGCTATAAAGCCCTGTCAGCTAGAGCGCAAGCAGCTCGTCAGCTCCCAAATCCAGGAGACGGACGCTCGCATTATGAAGGTCTTTAAGGCCATGGACGGCAAGATGGAGGCTATCACAGGCAAGGTGATAAAGGCCATTGCTCTTCGCGTGAACGCGTATGGCGAGAACACCACGTTGAAGCTCTCTAAGGGCTAACTGTATAGATTGCAAGAGCGTCACGGAATCTCCAAGAAGCGGAAGCACGGCGAAGCTGCGTCAGTTGACCAAGAGGCAGCTGAAGCCGGACGTGTGAAACTACGAAAGCTGACGGACTCGTACGCCCGGTCCGAGATCTGCAACATGGATGAGACCTCGTTCTTCTTTCGGAGCGAGGCTAAGTACACTCTCACGCAGAGGAAGGTGATCTCTGGTTTTGTTGAAGTAGCCTCTAAACAGTTTGATTACCTTGACCTAGTCACTCCAAAATATTATAATGAGATTTAGGAGGTCCTGTTTAAGTCGGTATGACTGGCTTAAACTATACAGACAATAATGGCTGGTGTACAGCTATTGGTGGCTTCCCAATACTAATAAACTACCTGCTAACTTCGTCTTTTGACGCCTACAAGTAACGTCTTCTTCCTCTCCCTACTTCTTCTCGACCTGTCATACGAGTTATAGGTTATGAACCCAAGCCAAGCCTCAAGCGACGACTTCCCACGTCTCATTGGCGCCGAGAATTTCGACGTCTGGAAGACCCGTGTGTGCGCAGCACTAGATGGCAAGCACCTACTCGGCTACGTGAAGCAGCCCGACTACGACGGTGTGTCGGAAGACGAGAGTGAAGACAGTGGCAGCGAAAGTCTGATGCCAACGATGAACCGCATGCCAAAACTACCAAGAACGTCGAAATCGACTCCGACGCTGTGAACTACGACGAGAGCGACGACGAGCTCAAGCCGCCCTCGGACTCGGACGAAGACTCTGGAGCCAGCTCCGATACGTCAATCAAGAGGAAGGACCTCCCGGTAGTTCGACCATTTAGCCATCGCGAGGCTCGCCGTGCACGCAAACGCGCCAAGAAAGAGAAGAGTTAGCCTCTTAGCCAGCGCGAACGCCGTCGACAAGAAGCCAAGACCAAAGCCTTCTTGATGAAAACGATGGACAACATGCACGTGCGGCTCGTCAAGAATCTCACGACATCCTTCGAGATTTTCAGCTACATCTGCCAGAAGTACGAGGGAGCAGCCTTTCATGGTGATCCGTACTTCATTCCACACTACTTGATGGAGATCAAGTATGAGGAAGGCTCCGACTTAACTGAGTTCTTTCTCAAGCTTGAGAACGCGATGAAAGCCGCGTCAGAAGCCACCGAATCGGTGATGACCGAGGGACAGAAGTCTATCTACCTGTTCCACTCGATGCCCAAGTCGTGGAAGGACGATCTCCGCATCTGGAAAAGCCAGTGGAAGTATATCCCGTATGAAGACCTCAAGCAGAGCATTGAAGGCAAGGTTCGCGATCTTCAAGCTCAAGAGCGCTACACCTTGACCAAGGGCACACCAGAGTCCTCTGCAACCAAGGGTGAGAGAGCTCTAGTGGCTACCGGACCTCCTGTGTCACAAGCCCAAGGCCGGGACAGCGCCAATGTCTGTTCCTACTGTGATCGCCCACGCCACAACATTCGCCAATGCCGAGGCCTTCAAAAGGATTTGCGAGATGGACGAGTGAAGGCTGGGACAGTGCTACCTGCTAACTTCGCCTTCAAGGGTAACTCGAAACGCGATCACCCATACCAGAACTCGAACAAAGGTGGCAATGGGCGACACGGCAAGAATAATAACAACCGCGACTTCAAGGGCAACAACAGTAGTAACAAGAACAAGCACGGAAATGGCGGCAAACAACGCGGTCAAGATCGCTACAAGGACCGCCCGCTTGAGTCAGACAATGACGATGACGACGACAGTGATTCTGGAAACAACCGCAAGGTAACTCGCCAAGGACGTCGTGACACCGGTCTCATCGCTGTTGCTACCACAGTCAATCTCCCGTTAAGCCTCACTGCTCAAGCCAAGATAGAACCCGATCCCACCTGGACAATCGACTCTGGCTGCACTCGACACGTCACCCATGAGTCTCAGTGGTTTACCGACATCACCTCCAGTGGTGGATCCATTACGGTTGGTGGTAATAACCAAATCCCCATCGAAGGCATTGGACGGGTCGATCTGGAGGTCACTGACTCCAAGGGCACTATGCAGAAGCTTATCCTTCATGGCGTCCTGTATGCTCCCCAGCTCCAATTCAGTTTGCTTTCAATTCCAGTAGCTGTGAAGCACGACTTTCGCTTCAACTTTGACCGCAAACAGTGCTCTATGCAAACTGACCAGCGCTTCAAGATCAAAGCGCTCATGGCTACCAACACGGATCTGTATCAGTTCCAAGCCAAACCAGCGGCACCTCCAGCGGCTCTTATTGCCTCAGGTAAGCAACGTTCCTTTCTGCTCTTACATAAACGCCTTGGACACCCTAACGTTCGTGTCTTGAATGACCTATCTAGGAGTCAGGCCATACATGGACTCGATGGATCTATACCTCATGGTCCAAGACAGATTTCTTTTGTGTTGCCTGCACGTTAGCGAAGTCACACCGCTCCCCATTTTACTCTAATAGAGTTGTTAAACGTGCTACATCACCTTTGTCAAAAGTCCATTCAGATATCTGTGGTCCACTACCTGTGCCTAGCCTTACTGGTTGTCGCTACTTTTTGATCTTCATCGATGACTTTTCTCGATTCATGTTCACTTATGCAATTAAGAACCGTAGCGAGTTGTATGGCTGTTACGAAGACTTCAGGAAGAAAGCCCTGAATATTTTCAGACAATATATATCTGTCATAGAGTACGCGTTCAGTGTTGAAGACAATGCAAACCAGGGTAACTTTGAGATTCAGCGGCTTCAAGCAGACAACGCTAAAGAGTACGAGAAGCTTGGCCGCATCATATTTAAAAATTATGGAACTCACGCCCAGTTTACCAATGCATACACACCTCAGCAAAACGGAGTTGCAGAACGCCGCATGCGTACCATTATGGAGCGTGTCCGAGCCCTTCTACTTGACGGCAAGCTACCGAAGCAGTTATGGGCCGAGTGTGTCTGTCATGTGACCACTCTCATCAATATGACTCCTAGCTCCAAGACGGATGGACGAACCCCGTATGAGCTTTGGCACAACCGTATTCCATCCATGCAGTACATCAAAGTATTCGGATGCAGCGGATATGTCCACATCACGGAGCAATACCGAGACAAACTCGACGCTAGAGCCCGTTTGTGTATGTATCTTGGTGAGAAAGGCTACCGTCTGATGGACATCAATACTCATGCAATTATCTGGGGTCGTGATGTAGTCTTTAAAGAGGACGAATTTCCCTCTCCCACAGGCCTGACGTCTACTCCAGAGCCCACACAGTCCACGAATCGGCAGAAATCTACCGCTACACTTGCACCTGTACCTCTGCCACCTGCAACTGCTACTACAGTAGCACCGTATCCTGAACATGTGTCAGAACCAGTGATCACACCGTCACCCACATCAGGCCCTGCAATGACAACAGCGCCAGGCACAGTGAACCAGCGTGTACTGCCCTCACTGAGGGAGGCTGTTGATCGAACAGCCATACATTATTCTTTTCGAACATAGACGGACTCTGATCCTCCGCATCATTCTACTCCTAAGCGACCCCGCCTCTCTGCGGAAGCCATTGATAGCTCTGAGGAAGCCAATGACGTAACCCTCAACTCTGAGGAAGACATACACGAACAGGAGCAACGTCAGCATTTACTGTACACATTACTAGCTATTCGGTATGTGTCTGAGCCCACTACGTATCGGGGAGCAATGAAGTCTTTCCACGCTAACCAGTGGCGCAAAGCAGCTAAATCGGAATACAAGTCCCTCATGGACAATCACACTTGAGTGTTGGTATCCCCTCCTAAAGGAAGGAAGATTTTAAGTAGCCGGTGGATCTTTGTAGTAAAGTATACCGGCACTGGCGAGATCGACCGCTTTAAAGCGCGTCTTGTGATCAAAGGATTCCTTCAGGAATATGGCATCGACTACAACGAGATATTCTCTCCTGTCATCAGGATGAAGTACTTAGACTACTTCTTACTATTGCAGCCCTTCTCGACTTTGAAGTCCATCAAATGGATGTTAAGACAGCATTCCTTAATGGCTACT